AGTTCTTGAGCTGAGAGACAGGAGGGCTCTGAGAAATGAAGGGACTTGGCTAGGGCTGCAGAAGACTGGAGGTCAAGGGCAGAGCAAAGGGCCAGCCCACACCCCACACTTCTGGGTGGCCCATGAAAGCTAACTGTTTAGCAGTTCTTCAGCAAGTGATCAAAGGTTAGCTCCTTTTGAATCCCTGCCCTGGAGTCACCATGGCAACTGGCTTTGCCATGCCTCACCTTCCACTTGTACTTCTTCACTGTGCTCTAAACTCAGAGGTGAGTCTGTCCTTGTGTGTCCCCATTTGATTGTCCTGTGGATAAGGATTCCTAGAGAAATTCCTCCTCCCTCGCTGGAGAGCCAGGTCTCCATCTGCCTGTCTCTGGCCTACTTTGGAGACTGAAAGGAATTGGTATATTTTAAGTTGTTTCTTAAAGCACATCCTCTGCTCTGGTTAACGTTATGTCCTTCGTCTTGGGGAGGAAGCACCTTGTCCTGGAGTAACCTTTGGGATCCTCCGGAAACAAAGCTCTCTGTAAAGCATCTCCTTTCTACCGGCCGGCCTCCCCTCACCCCATTCTCCAGTCACCTGCTACTTGTAGCTTCCCTTCTCCTTCTCTTCTTCGCTGGTGTTTGTTTTTAAGATATTCGTCGTCAGTGTAGGAACTGAAGTGGGCTGAATCTCAATGAGCCAGTCATAATCTTGTTTAAGAAAAAAAAAAAAAAGTCCTGCAGACAGCTGAATGCTGGGTGAATGACAGCTTCCCGCACCTAGATGATGAATGGACAGAGTGGTCGGGAATGAACCCATCTCTGTGCAAGGATGTGAGAGGTGCCTTTTAATTCCACCTGAGTGCTCATGGCGAGGGCACACTGTGCTGGGGTTGGCCTGGTCTGCCGGTCTGTCCACAGCTGTGAAGACGGAATTAAGTTGTAAACAGCTCTGGTAAGAAGGGAGGGGATGGTATGGGAGATGGCGAACAGATCTCTAATCTTTTAGGCCCTGTGGGCTTTGTGCTAACCGACTGGGAAGGAGAAACAAGAGGAAGGAGGAAGCTGGCTGCTGTTTTCAGGGGAATGTCTCCTGCACAGGACAATTCTAGGAATTAATGAAGATAGTACATAGTAGAGTGTCTGGCCTGATGCCTAGTGAATGCAGCTGAACTTGATAAATGGGGCCAAATCTAAATTACTGGAAAACAGTTACTCAGCTAGGCTGTGGTCAGGAGGAGAAATAAAAACCACAACCAACTTCCTAATGCATTTTGGTTCACCAGGCCCCTGTAGCTACTCTACCACAACAGAGCCTCACCATGGGCTCCGGGTGGGCTTATCATTCATTTGTTTTCCATTCACAGAAACAAACCCAAGGCTCAGAGAGCTTGAGCAGCTTTCCAAAAGGAACAAAGTTGGAAAGCAATAAAGTTATCTCTGAAAGACAGATTTTTCAACTCAATCATCCTATGCTTGTTTTTCTGGGGATATTTAAAGTAAATCATAGTTAGGAAGCTGGTCCACAAAGTAAAATAATCTTTTTTAAAAATGACATGAGGGGCGCCTGGGTGGCTTAGTCGGTTAAGCGTCCGACTTTCGCTTAGGTCATGATCTCGCGGTTCGTGGGTTCGAGCCCCACGTCGGGCTCTGTGCTAACTGCCAGCTCAGAGCCTGGAGCCTGTTTCAGTCTGTGGCTCCCTCTCTCTCTGACCCTCCCCTGCTCACGCTGTCTCTCTCCCTCTCCTAGAAATAAATAAAACATTAAAAAAATTAAAAAATAAAAAAAAATAAAAATGACATGAAAAGGTATCTTTTTCCAGATAGTAGAGAAACAGGAGAAAGTGGCTGCACTGTATTTAGGGAAGAGTGAAAATCTCAGGTTTTTTTCCTGACCTGAGAGGACTTTGAAAACCTTAACAAACATCACATAACCACCAGTTTAAAAGCAGAGAATGGATTCCATTCCCCCAGAGGATAAGTGGCAAAGAGGACACAAACTAAGATTTACTGAGCACTTATTTTATGTCAGACACCAGGCTAGGCTTGTTGAACTAGGTACCCTGTTAATGCCCCCATGCTAGGTACTATTATTCTATCTTACAGAGGAAAGAACTAAGTTTCAGGGAGGTGAACCAAGTTGGCCAAGCCTACACGTACACGTAGTGGCTGAATCGCAATTCCAGCGTGGATCTGCCAGAGTCTGCCAAGGCCAAGTGGAAGGCTCAGTGAGGGGCTTTGCGGGAGATACCCCTTCTGGAGGCCTGCTTTGCGTTAGGATTTAGGGCAGAGGGCTCCCTCCCAGCAGAATCCTCAACTTCCATGAGAATCTAAGTGCAGGATGACTCATCCACTGATGTGTGGTACAATTCCTCATCTTAAAATAACAAATCCCCATCATGAAAGCCAATGCATTCTGATGTCGCATAAATCCTTTTATAATGATCACTTGGTGTCACTGGCTTATTTAAATGGACACATCACTTCTAACAGGGCTTTCCTCATCTGCTCTGCCCTTTAAGCAGCAGCAAGCGGGGAAGTAACTCACTGCCTTGGCATATCAAGTAGGAACTGACGGTGGTTTTCAGACTTGTATGTCTCCTGACCTCACACTGAGGCAAACTGGGAGAGGCGGGATGGGACATGTCATTTTTGTCGTAATAAATTCCCCAGTGTGCCACATTTTTCTCCTCCCCGCAAACCCAGATTGATGGCCTGTGGGGTTTTTTTTTTTTTTTTTTTTTGACGCGGATAACCATGACCCTGACGCCATGTCCTCAAGGCCACTGCGGTATATCTCTGTGTGACACTGTCTATTATTCTGTGTTGTGGAAGACAGACACCAGGGTTTACCTGAAATTTCCCTTCTCCCACCCAACAGACACGGATGTCTCGGGCTTTGCGAGAGCCTGGAGTGAACGTATTAGAATTCAGGCTTTTACAAAAGATCAACATCAGATGATAATTCACTTACCAAAGGAAAGGACGGGGCAGGGTGGGGGGAAGGCATATGATTGGCCTCACAGTGGGTTCCTAAAGGGTCTAGCCTCAGAGGCACTGAGAAAGCCTCCTGGGAATGTTTGCTTGGAGAAGAAACAGTGGTAGGTTTCAGAGAAGATCCTATTGCTCCAGAAACATCCTGAGGGCAAAATCCTAGGCTTCTCTCCAGATGCTTCAAAGACAAGAGTCTAGAATCCTACAATGTATGGTATTCTTGATCTTGAAGCCAGTGAAGTTCAAGCTAGGAAGATTAGTAGTTAACAAGGAAGCCCCCTTACTGCTCAGACTAGAGCCTCAACCTCTCTCAGTGTGAGTTTCCCCAGAATAAAATAGAGATAAGAATAGCGCCTGCCTGGTGGGGTTAGTGTAAGGATTGAATAAGAGTAACATCTAGAAAGCACCCAGTACATACTCAGCTGGTACCCAGACACGCTGCCATAGTCATTATGAAAATCCTTTTACACCAGCTGAGGGAGAGCTGCTTCTCTCTGCCTCCCTCTCCGAGCCTGAGCCTGGCCCCTCTCAGAGATTCCTCAGACATCCTCACCATCCAGGGACTCAAGGGTTAATGCCCAGCACAGCAGGGGAGCCTCCAGGAGGTGTGAATTCCATAGAGTGAGGCCTGCCTGGATGTTCTGGCAAATGTCAGCAAAGGAAGGCTCCCATCTCAAAGGATGGCCTTCACAGGACTCCCTAACTGGCACCACTACACACTGACTCTGACACTTTTTTTAATTTTGTTTTTATTATTTATTTTTGATAGAGAGAGAGAGAGAGCATGAGCAGAGGAGAGGCAGAAAGAGTGAGAGACAGAATCCCAAGCAGGCTCCAGGCTCTGAGCTCTTGGCAGAGCCGGATGCAGGGCTCAAACCTACAAACTGTGAGGTTATGACCTGAGCCTGAGTCAGAGGCTCAACCACCCAGGCGCCCCTGACACTTTCGTTTCTTGTCATCCTCCAGCTTTGACCCTATGTCTGAACTCTCACCTCTGGAAGTTTGACTGTCAGCCATTTTTCCTTGGCCTCTGGGGCCCCTGTATTTGCACCTGATCCTCAGCTCTCAGAGTTGACTTTTGGCCTCTGGGACCTTTTAGGTGGTGCCATCCCCTGACACCTGTCCCACCCAGTCCAGTTGGTCTCAGATGCCGGGTCCCAGTCCTTCTGGGCCTGATCCTACTGCTCTCTGAGCTCCAAGTTTTGATCCTGACCCAGATCACACATCTACATCCTTTAAGAACGGAGTTCCAAAGCAGTAGCAATAGAGGATAAAGGGGAAAGGGCAGAAGGATCTGGAAGCACAGCAACAACAGGCATTGGCAGTCCTGAGCTTAAGGAGAGGGACGTTGCTTTAATTCCTTATTGATAAGCTCTGTGAGGTCATGGGAGGCATCTGGCCTACCTGGCACAGGGTCTAGTATAGACTAGGCACTCCATCCACAGTTGTTGAACACAGAATGAATGAATGAATGAAGATATCATTAGCCAATGAAATATTAGCAGAAATGATGTCACTTCTGACCAGAAACTTTCAGAATCAATAAGACCCCCCTACTTTCCCCTCTATACAAGGAAGTATGAATCCAGATGAGTCCCGAATGCCTATGGTGAGCAAGATCCAGCAGGCCTAACAGGGACATGGAATGTGAGGAATGTAAATGTTTGCCGTGTTAAGCAGCTGAAATGTCGGGGTTCTTTGTCACCGTGGAACAGTCTTTGTATCAGTGGAGCGAAGGAACCTAGAGGTCATACTGCTAAAAAAGCCCAATGGGATCTAGATTTGAAGGTTAGTCAGGAGAGAGGCTTTTTGCTGAGATTGCCACTGACAGCCAGGGTCTGACGCTACGCTGACTACAGCTGTGGCTCTAAGACTGGAAGGTCAATGTGTATACACCGTCCACTGCAGAATTCAGGCAACCAAGTGGTCTCCTCCTGGCCTTTGCTGGCCTCCTCCTCAGAGGAAAGAACACTGAGCCCTCACGTCACCTTCTGAAACCCCCACCTCGCACCACCCTCACAATTTACCTGTGTTGTAGCCCCTTCCAAGGGCAGGCCACGGACGGTGATTTTTCCACAGGTTTCCAAGGTACCAGTCACTCTGGTTCTCTACCAAGCCCAGGACCTGCTGACCTGTAAAGTACAGAGAAAGTAAAGGTATTAAAAGAAGCCAAGCCACATGGAACAGTGAGTAAGTACTGAATAGGAGACATAGTGATATGATAAATCTTATTTTAGTTTTTATTAAGTGTCAGGCCTTGATCTAAATGCTTAACTTGTATTAGCGTATTTAATTTCACACTTTGGCAGCCCTGCCATTTTTTTCAAAGTTTATTCAGTTATTTTGAGAGAGAGAGAGAGAGAATGCATGCATGGGGGAGGGGGAGAGAGAGAGGGAGAGAGAGAATCCCAAGCAGGATTGGAACTGTCAGCACAGATCCCAACTTGGGCCTTGATCTCACAAACCATGAGATCATGACCTGAGCCAAAATCAAGAGTCAGATGCTTAAACGACTGTGCCACCCAGGTACCCCTTGCCCCACCAAGGGGTTAAATTATCCCCATTTTATAGAGAAGAAATGAAGGGGTGGATAATTAGCTTGCCCAATGTCACCCAGTTACTCTGTGATAATGAATCCCAACCAACCAGCCAGCCAGCCAGCCAGCCAACCATCCATCCATCCATCCCCTAACTCATGCAACACATGTTTATTTACCGACACACCTCATGTGTTCCAGCTCTATTTCCCACTGTACGTTAGTTCCCTGGCTTTCTGGCATCAGCTAAGATCATTTGCTCCCATCAGAGGGAAGAAATGCCCCTTGGTGAAGGAGATAGTAGCCCACAGAGAAGAGCCCTCTTTTGGCCACCTCCCCACAGTGTTTTCATCCTCACATCCATTTCATCATGAGTCAACAAGCCATCGTGTCATGTCAATGCAGGAGTGTTTCCTAGAGGAGCTATTGCTTCTCTGTCCCCAGCGCTCAGCTCTGACGTTGGCCTGCATCTGGTGTACAGGAGTCAGCAGCACGGGAGGGCCAGGACTCTTGGTCAGACTAGTTTCACAGCATCTTAGAGCAGTCAGTCACTCCTCTCGATTTCTTAGAACTTACTGTTCCTGGCAGTCCAGGCCTTCTACGGAGGGCAAGCAGGGCATCAGACCCATCCACCTTCCACAAGACAAGCCTATCATCCACTTGCAGAAGGTACTCCCTTGGACTTAACTATCAACTATTTACAGACCAAGAAACCAAAGTTCACCGGGACCATGATGTGAACAATAGTGGTGGAGCCAGCACGTGACTTGGTACTTGTGTGACACACACACTTCTTCCACCGGCTCAATGCCATCTCGCGTGCCATTACAACAAGTAATTGTGGGAGGAGTGAAAAATCCATGTTACAGAGAAAGAAATTGAGGCTTGGACATTTTAAATAGCTTGCTAAGGTCATATGACTAATAATCATGGTCTTCCAGAGCTAAGCGATGCCTTCTGGGGCTAAAAATCTTTATATTATTGGCCGATCTGAGAAATAAAGACCTTTCTGACCAAATGAAAGCCTAGCAGTGTGTTAAGAAAAACACGACATTTCTCCCGGAACAGCATGCTTTGTGATATAGAACCTCCCTGGTGTGATGGCAGCTCCCTGAAATGATGGTGTGTGGGCTCGGTGTAATTTATTTGATCAATTTATCGAGCTCCTATCTAAATCATCACCCCGGCACAAATACATAAATTAGAGGCATGGGAAAAAAATACTACCACCCACTTTGTCATTGTATATGATCACATCCAAAACTTGTAGAATCCCTCAGAAAAACACATCAACAATTCAAGAAGTGCAAGAGCCAATCAATTCCACATGCAATGAGCTTGGGATGTTCGTGCAAAACAATGAGATCTGAAAGGCAGGTTGTCCTCAGCAGAGAAAGCTGTGTGCCATGTCCCGATGCTGTGACCTGCTTACAGAGCCCACGTGATAACCTTGCACGAAGGTCGGGCGCAGGGGGGCTACAGAGCCCTGGTTCATAATTACTAATGACCCCAGGTTGTATATAATGAAGGGTGTCACATGCTCGGAAATGATCATTCACTGAATTTAGGGTAGCCACCTGAATTTCAGATAAGGTCATCTTCAGCACCTTAAAAGTCCAAATTGTAGACTCTGGCATTCCATGTTCTGCCTCAGTTTACTTCTTCAGAAGGTTTCTCTATTTTTTGTCTTTAAGTTTATTTATTTATTTTCAGAGAGAAAGAGTACACACGCTTGCGAGTGAGTGGGGAGGGGCAGAGAATCTGTGCTATTGGTGCAGAGCTTGACGCGGGGCTCCATCTCATGAACACTGAGATCGTGATCCGAGCTGAATCAAGAGTCGGTCACTCAACCAACTGAGCCACCCAGGCGCCCCATAAGCTTTCTCTATTTAACCACCCTTCATTCCTGCCAAATGAAAATATACAGTTTTATTGCTTACGTTCTCACCTCTGGCTCCTGCCCATGTGGCCCTTGCTTGATGGGAACTGCTCTGACCCCCGGGCAATCCCTGCCCATCATCCCTTCCAGTCCATCTCTAGCGTGAAGCCACCTATGAACATCCTTGAGTCTGAATGGTCACTTTACCTTCACTCCCATGAGATGACAGACAGTTCTATCCAGCACTTCCTTCTGGCATTTTTTGCATTAGCTGACTTATGCCCTCTGAAGGACAGAGTGGGTGATACACAGGTGCACCCACACCTCATTTGTAAACATCCACCTCTCCATTAGTCCGAGGGTAGTCTCCAACACACTAATGGGTGCTAATAAATGTCTACTAAATAAATGACGTCTGGTGGTGGCTAAACCTCTCCCGACTGGGAGACCCGCCATGTTAGTGTATTAGTATCCTCACATTTCTGGGGCTGTAGGGCATTTTGCCCTCCCCCCACTCACCGACACATTCTCTGGCAAACCTGGCCATCTTCCTCACCTGCATGGAAAACTGCAAAGGTGAGGCGGCACCACCTGAAAGCATGTTTATGTTGGTTACTCTACAGAAGGCTTGAACCCAAGGTTTTAATCTCCAGAGGAGTGACATGCATGATTAACCCAAGTTAATGTTATCCAAACTCCCCTCTCAGTTTGCACCTGGGTTGCATTTCTCATGATGGTTGCATACAACTCCTTTACACAGGCCAGCCCTCTTTAAGGTCAAAAAACAAAATAAAATCCTTAACTAGCAACACGATGGCTGTAATTTTAATATCCATTGGTTGACAAAATGCAAAATAACAAATAGCTACTAAGACTTCATTTTGCTTTTCCAGATGGATTCATTAGCCGCTCTGTCAGAGAATTAAAAGGGTAGCTGGGATGGGGCACCTGGGCGGCTCAGTCAGTTAAGCATCTGATTTCAGCTCATGATCTTGTGGTCTGTGAGTTCTAGCACCACATTGGGCTCTGCTCACAGTCTGGAGCCTGCTTCAGATTCTGTGTCTCCTCTCTCTGCCCCTCCCCTGGCACACACACTCTCTCTCCGCCCCACCCCCCCAATAAAACAACAGGGTGCCTGGGTGGCTCAGTCAGTTAAGCATCTGATGTCAGCTCAGCTCATGACCTCATAGTTTGTGGGTTCAAGCCCTGCATGGACCTCTGTGCTGTCAGTTCAGGACCTGGAACCTGCTTTGGATTCTGTGTCTCCCTCTCTCTCTGCCCCTCCTCTGCTCACACTCTGTCTTTCTCTCAAAAACAAATAAACAGGAAAAAAAAATTTTTTTTAAAGGGTAGCTGGGTTTTGTAATGGGCTTGTGAATACCCTGAACTATTTGGTGCATCTCACCCTGCAGAGGTCTGTGGTCCATCCCCAGGGAACTATGCAGTGGGGGTAGTCAGAGGTAAAGAGTGGAAACCTCAGGTCCCACTGCCTGATCCTAATTCTTGGCCCTGCCCCTTTCCAGCTGTGTATCCTTGAGAAAATTACTTAACCTCTCTTGGCCTCAGTCTCTAAGCATTAGGACTGCTGTGTCTTCACATGTTTGAATGAGGTCACGTGTGTTAATGGTTAAGCATGGGGGCTGGAACCTATTAAGCACCCTGTAAGTCATATCTATTTTTACAGATCATCATCCAAGCTCACTTGGAAGCTTCTGAAAGACAGCAAGCCCACCCATGAAGTTTTCTTTGGAGGTCCATCTAGCCCAACAGGTCCTTCTAGGACTTTATCCAATTGTGGTCTGAGAACTGAGTGCTTCTCAGGTTATTAACTGCAGGTTCCTGGGCATCAGCCTAGATGTTAATTATGACCAAAGGCTGCTTCCCCCTACCTCTCCGGTTTCTAGAAGGAATTTCCAGCTGCTAGCCCCAACCCTTTCTCTCCTCTGTGTACACAGGAGGACTTACCTGGCTGGTGAGCTTCAGAGAAACAAGTCTACATTGCTTAACCCCTCCTCCATCCCTTCTCTTAGAGAGGGCCCCCTTGAACCCTGTCCTTTCCTGGGGCAGGCTCCTCTCCACGAGGCCACGGTTGCCCCACACCAACCCACACCATGGGGACAGGGTGGGCAATTCTAACTCAGAGCTTTGATATGATTAACATCCACAGGAAGTCCTCTGATTTAACCTGCACTAAAAAGATGACATTTTGCTCTCATTCTTTTACCTTTAAATTGGTTCAGTATTGGGGATGCGGGGTTCATATTATCTATTAATTCTCTCATGCCTTAACACTTCTAACAAAGAATTCCGGCCACTGGGGCCAGTCATCTGCATTAAAAAAAAACAAAACAAAACAAACAAACAAAAAAAAACAGGTAATTGGAAAGGATATTAAAGTTTGAGAATTAGTGATCCAGGTCTGGAAACACTGTCCCTGCTTCAGTCAAAGGTGAAGTTCACTGGTCGGGTCCCTAGCACACAATACACTCTAAGACATCTAAATCCAGCCCACAAACCAGCAGAACTCAGTGGCAGCCTGCAGTCGTAGGCTTCCTGAGGACAGTGAAGTAATGAAGGAAATGAACATCAGAGCCAGACTGCCCAGGTTCAAATCCTGGCTCTTCCACTTATTAGCTGTGTGACCTTGAACAAGTTACTTAACCTCTCGGTGCCCACTTCTTCACTCAATTATAAAGTGAATACATAGGACATACCT